AACACCCCAATTGTAAGACTGCTTTTACACAGTAAATTATTGAATTCAATTCTGCTCGCTTATGAAAGAGAGGGGGTGAGAAGAAAAGGGACGAGTACACATGCGTCTGTACCGTGAAGTAGTTTCGACTTTCTTGCTTTGCTTTTAACCTTTTCGTTGTTTCCCATTTAAAGAACCAAAAACTTGAATTCAACAGAATTGAAGCGTGTAAAAGCAAATAGAAACCACATAAGAGAATCAGCAAGCATTGCTTTCAAGTACTTGAATCATGTAAATCGGGTGTACCAATGTTAACGTGGTTACGGTTCACGATGCAGAAAATGAAGGTGGCGCCATTCGGGGACCGCTAACCCTCTCTTCGTCGATTTGAAAGCATCCACCTATTCGCTGACATCACACAATACTTTTGTTTACATTCACTGTTGCCAACTTGGTGCTTTTCGCACTAAATTTAATGGGTATGCAAAACGCGAAAATTTTAGAGTTTGGTGCTTGGTGCGTTTTTGGTGCTTTTATTTTTAGTTTGAAGTAGAGATGGGTACGGGCCGGAATATTTGCTGTCAGCACGAACTCGTGCGTGCATGGGAATATGCACGAAATAGCCCCTTTCTTATATTACGTTTCCACCAAAGTGAAACCCTGGGTTTGCAGGTTTTGGGTTTGAGAGAGTTGTCAACTGTTTCGACTGCGTGTTTGATCAAAATTGTGTTGAAACTGTCATTCGTTTGTTTACTTTTCTATCGCCACGTGCTACAATTCTTAAATGGTGCCTAAAATTAAAATCGTTATATTGATTTTGTCATTTTATTTTAAAATAATAGATAGTGAGGTGACGACATATTATTTAAAAAAGAAGATAAGAGAAAATAAAATGCTTTTGTCTATTGCTGCCAATTTACTGGACCCAACAATAGTGCGTTCACAAAGTGTCTGGTGTTTGGTATGTTAGCAATTTGAAGATACAAATTTTGGTTTATAATGAATATATTTTAGGAACATTCCAGTACCTTTTGGGAAGTAGACTGCCAGAAGAATGGCTCTAAGTTTTTCAAAGAGAATTTCCGGATGAAAAAATCCAGCTTTGACGAATTATGTAGTCTCCTAAAAAAAATGACCAAAAAGGACACAAATTATCGGGATGCAATTCCACTAGAAAAGCGCGTTGCAATTGCTCTTTATGCATTAGGATCTTCTAGTGAATATAGGTCAATTGCACACTTGTTTGGAGTAGGCAAAGCTACTGTTTGCAAAATATTTATTGAGTTTTGCAATGAAGTTTGGGCAAGTTTGGCGCCAATTTATTTAAACAATTTTCCCCTTAAAAGGTCGCAAATTGAGCAAGGAGTTGCAGATTTCAATGCAATGGGTTATCCACAATGTATTGGAGCTATAGGTAGGCTTAAAAGTAATGCGATGGAAAAGAACTTTTATCAGAAACGGTTTTATAATACAGATGGATGTCATATAGAGATACACCCAAAAAAAGAAGAAGCCATTGATTATCACAACTACAAAGGGTGGTATTCAGTCGTACTGTTGGCTTTAGTAGACGCAAAATATAGATTCAGTTATATCCATTGCGGCAGCCCAGGAAGGTGCAATGATTCCTCAATTTTTGAAAAGTCGTCTCTAAAACGGGAGCTGCAGGAATGCGCACTCCTTGATGAATTGAGCTGGCAGTATGGATCCACAAAAATACCAGTGCACGTTATAGGTGACTCAGCCTTTCGCCTATCTCAGCATTTAATGAAGCCATACCCGCATAGCGTAAACAACACACCTGAACAAAAAAAATTCAACTATAGATTATCCAAGTGTCGACGTGTTGTGGAAAATGCTTTTGGCCATTTAAAAGCCAGGTGAATACAAAGAAACGTTCTTGTCTCTTTCCAACATGATTAAATTTGTATGCTATTTTAGATTTAGAAGAATTGGAAAAGGCGTGGATAATCACATAAAAAATGCAAACACTGTGATTTGTGCTGCATGCGTTTTACACAATTTTTTAATTGCACAGAAGGACTCTATCGTAGAGAATTGGGTAGTAGAAATGCAACGAGATAGCAGGTGCAACCCGCAATGCAGCAACAACCAAAGTGATCGATCTGAAGGAGAATTGATAAGAAATTCTTTAAAGGAATATTTCCGTAAGTATATTTTTTAAAAAATTGTTTTACTTTCCCATGAATCATCAGGGTCGAATCACAATATATGCTTCTACTCCCAAAACACTAATTGATGAGACATAAGGCGTTAATAAACGTTAAAAATTCATTTATTTTAAGATCACTGAATAATGACATAAATTTACAGAAATAAAAAATTCAAAGCTAGCACAAAATTCACAAAAATTAATCAAACTTAAAAAAATTAATCAAAGTTTCAAACTTTTCATTAAGAACTTTAAGAATATTTTCGAGTATGCAGTTTTGTATCACGTTTAATTTTAGTACAACAAAGTGCAAGTTTCAAGTCACTAAAAAATTACCTTTGATTTTTTAGAATTTGTTTTTCGAATAGTGTTTTGTGTTTAATATTAACAATGTTTTTAAGTTAACATTTTTTTGTTATTTTTTTATAAATATGGTTCATGCTTTAATAAAAACCACATAAGTCAAGCTTTCAAACTTTATACAGAACTTAGAAAAATTCAATGAATTTTCGACCTCGCGTTGATTTTTAATGAATTTTTTACTGCTGACGGCTTTTTGCACATTTTACTATATAAAAGAAAATTTCTTGTAGCCGCTTAAAACTTGGACTTGTTTTACTAGAATTAAAAAACCAATCTATCTGCGTACTCAAAATTTTTCTAAAGATTCAGATTAAAAAGGTCAAAATTTTTACGAAAATTCATTGAATTTTTCTAAGTTCTGTATAAAGTTTGAAAGCTTGACT